GATGGAGAAGGGGTCCAAGGAGCTAAGGGTAAACAACTGATCAACCAGCTGGGGGAGTTTCTCTATAGTTCTCAGAGGCCTTTTGTGATAGCTGCTGACTGGAACGATGTGCCCTCGGAGGTCCAGAAGATGCCTGTCATGGGAAAACTTAGAGCCGCGGTAGTCAATTCGGGGAAGCCAACATGTCGAGTAGGCAAGGTGTGGCGTGAGCTTGACTACTTTGTCGCATCGCACGAGCTTGTCGGGGAAGTTCGGGCGTGCGTCAGGCGGGAAGATTCCAGCAACAGGACTCATTATCCAGTTTCACTTAGGCTAGGTACGATGGCACACCAGAGGACTCAGAAGGTGCTGAAGGTGCCGAAGCATTTTCCGCTAGATAAGCCCACAGGTCCAACACCTCCGCCACAGGACTGGACCCATTTCGAGGGCAAGTTTGAACGGCTGCGACGACAGCCACCGCGTGCAGATTTATCTGTGCTCTATGGGGAGATGTGTGACACCATGGAGCGGGAGCTGTGCGACGTGATAGGCATCGAGGCTGCTGAGCGTGCGAAGTACTGCGGTCGGGGTACTAATTTCCAGGTGGTCGAGAAGCTAGTTTTGCAGAAGCACGTTTCGGGTCCCTTCCCACGGTGCAGTCGGGAGTCCAGGATGCTAAGGAGATATCAGGCTTGGCTGGAGGAGCTGACTTATCTTCATGGGAAAGAGCACTCTTGGGATTCGACTGGAGTTCAGGATTTAGTTCGGAAGCTCGAGGCCCCAGCAAAGGTACTCAGCAGCATTCCAGAGTGGGTGACTTTTAAGCAAAGCTTTCAGCTGCGCGCCGCCGTCTCCCACGTGGAGCTGCAAGGCGCTTTGGCGGCCGCGCGGGCCATTGCAGATGCGGGGGAGTCGAGCGCCAGGACGAAGAAGACTCAGCAGTGGAGGCAATGGGTGGATCAGAATCTCAAGCAAGGAGGAGGAGGAGTGTTTCGGTGGACGAAGGAGCCTCAGGGATGGGTCCCTGATGGGGCTGGTCTGGACGGGGCCCCAGCGGGGCCTGTCGACACGCTGGAGGCCCTCTTGGAAGAATGGAAGCACATGTGGCGTGAAGGTGCACCATCCAGGTTGAGAGCCCAGGACCTGAACGTGCCGCTCGGGGAGCCCCCCCCCCTGCGCCCGCTGTGTCAGAGGTTCAAGAGGCCCTTCAGAAGTTCAAGAAGAACACGGCGATAGGGATATACGGCTGGAACCCAGGGAACTTGGGACAACTGAGTGATCAAGGTCTGGCTGTTTTCGCTGAGTTCTTATCCTTTGTGGAAACGTATCTAATGATTCCAGAGCAGTGTCACGTGGCGTTCATCGCCTTTTTTGAAGAAGCCCGACGGCGGGTGCCGTCCGATCGGCATCTTGGCCACGTGCGCGCGGCTGCTCGGTCGCATTCGGCACTCGGAGGCCAAGAAGTGGGAGCGCGAGCACCACCCTGAGTGCGTATATGGCTCCAACGGCAAGTCTTGCGAACAGTCAGTTTGGAAGCAGGCGGCCCAAGCAGAGGCGGCCAACGCTATCGGGTTTTTTTTCAGGTTCAGCGTTGATAGATCTTGAGAAGGCTTACGAAAAAATCCACATGAAGTGTTTTGGGCCGCCTGCCAGAAGCATCAGTTTAGCCTTCGACGTGTTCGCCTGCTGATAATGGTATATGGAGGGCCGAGGATGATTAAGATCCGAGAGGTGGTTTCGAGTATCTTCACGATCGCTTGTTCGATTATAGCAGGCTGTTCGTTCGCTACGACGATGTTGCGTGTTGTATTGTATGACTCGCTTGTGTACATGCAGAAATACTGGCCATCACTACCCCTGTATGTAATGGTAGACGATATCACGGCCTCGGCGCTCGGATCGGAGAAGTTCGTCAGAGAGCCCCTGTCTAGAGCTCTCCCAGCACATTGCAAGCGACTGCGCAAGATGGAGTGTTCAGTGTCTAGGAAGAAGTGCCAGATCGTCGCGTCGCCCAGCAAGTTGGCGCAGGATCTCGGCGCCAACCTCAGGAGTTTAAATTTCAAGGTGTGCCCGAGCGTCAAGAACCTCGGGCACGATTTCAGCCAGCAGGTAAGGAAAGGTAAGAGAGTTCTGAAAGGCCGCGTGAATAACCTCCGCAAGAGATCCCATCGGTTCCGTGCTCTCCGACACCACAGGCGAGGGCTCTCAAGAGTGTTCCGAGCGGGTGGCCTCGCTTCGGCCTCGTATGGGGTCAGGGTATGTGGCATGAATGATACAGATCTCTCTAACCTCCGAGCGGTGTCGGCCGTCGCCCTCTTTGGCAAGGCCAAGGGTAGGTCCAGGGCGGTGCAGTACTTGTTGCACGACCCGCCCGACCTCGACCCAGCGCACCTGATAAACACCCTACCCCTCACGACGTGGCTTCAGGCTCTCCATGAAGGTTGGGCTCCTCAGGGCGTTACGCAGACTATGTTTGAGGCCGGCTTGTCCAAGACCAGTCTGGGATGGGCTACCGTGTGTGGCCCAGGGGGAGCTGTTGCATTGACTTTGCGTTGCCTTGGGTGGCCAATCAAGTCTTCAAGCTTTGGGGGGATCCTCAAGGGCTCGAGGTGGACCTCGAGAAGGTTAGTATCAAGACCCTCAAAGCGCTAATCCACAGGGGCCTCAAAAGGCACCAGGAGCTGCAAGCGGCTAAACACATGGGCTGGAATGGGGCCCCCTTCTTGGACCCGATCAAGGCAGAGCTGCAGGTTCTTCGGGCCAATGGCCAATCAGTATCAGCAGACCTCGTTTCAATACACATGTCGGGTGGATTGTGGACGCAGTCCAAGCTCTTCGAAGAGCGGCATTCCTTGTCGTCCGCCTGCAGGTGGAGCGGGCACCCTTCAGGCTCGATATCTCACAGATTTTACGGCTGCGACGGCTTAGAGGCATGGCGTCGCGATCAGGGCTATGATGAGGTCGTGTCGGTCGGTCGGGAGTTCCCAGGCAACTGCTTAGTCGACTTTGGGGTCACAGACAATATGAGAGACGCCATGCCTCCGCCCTTGCAAGATCACGAATGCCCTCAGCGCGGTCTCCTAGGATGCGGCTACCTCGGCGAAGAGATCTTTATAGACGGCTCGGGGGTCAATCCAGATGCGGCGTGGATGACGAGGGCAGGATGGGCGGTCGTATCTCTCAAGCACGACAGCGAGCAAGTTTCATCGGTGGCCTACGGGCCAGTGCCACGGCCTGTGCAGAGCGCGGGCTTGGCAGAGCATTACGCGTTCTACGTGGCATTGTGTCTCATGGGGCCCAGGGCGACCATTATCACGGACCACAAGAACCTCCTGATAGGTCTCCAGAAGGGCACCGAGAAGATGTGTAGAGCTTCAGAACCGTATTGGGAAGTCTGGCGACTTATATTCTGGAAATTGAATGACGTGGGGTCAGAAAATGTGAATCTTCAGTGGATGCCGTCACATAAAAGCAGAACGTGGCTCAAGAATCACGATTTCTCTGACTCCTGGTACCCTGGAAATTGGCAGGCTGATAAGTATGCGAGGTTGGGGGCTCTTGAGCATCCAGTAGTTCCCCAGCTGGATCAAAGGATTCAGGCGGCCAAAAACTTCGGTCGGCAATTCGCGAGGCTCCTGGCAGGCACTCTGAGGCGCCTTAGTACTTTAGGTTTTCCAGATGTGGATAAGGTCCCGAGGGCTACAAAGGTCCCCAGGCAGACCCAGGTTAGGTGATGAACCCTTGTGCGTGCTAAAACTCACCACGGGGGATTGAGGCCACCTGCTTCACAACGCTGATGGCAGGTGGGGTTGCAGAATTTGTGGAGTGAATGCGGCTCGTCGTAGTGCAATCACCAAGAATGAGTGTCCTGGCAAGCCGAGGGTGCTGGCGCGGACGCACGAGTCGCATCGTATGTGGGTGCTTGGCTCGGATTTGTATTTCTGCATGCAGTGCGGTGGCCACGCGCGGAAGCAGGTCAAGGACTTGGCCGCGCGCTGCCACCGCTTTGCTGGGACAGGGAAGGTAGGGGCTTTGAAGTTCATGCGCCAGGGCATGGATCCCACATCCAAGGTGTTTGTGGGGCGCCCCTTCCCTGTCCACTAATCTTCCCCCATCGGGCCAGTCTTTCAATGAGGGGTTGCGTCCGCAGAGGCTCCAGAGGAGGAGGAGGAGGAGGAGGGGGAGGAAGATCAGGAGGTCGAAGAGGGGGAATCGGAGGGGGAAGAGGAGGAGGGACATTGTTCGTGTAATCTTATCTTGTTTTCTGATTCTCTGGCTCGGGAAGGGATGCTGAGGACGAGGAGGGAAAGGGGAGCGCAGGATGAAGAGGGCTCGAGAGGAGGAAGGAGGTGAAGTAGGTAAAGGAACACAAGGAGGGACACACCGAAGAGCGGGGAAGACAGGGAGGAGGAGGAGAAGGAGGAGGAAGAGGAGGAGGAGGAGGTGAAGAAACAGGGATGTATTTCAGGAAGACGCCGACGAGGAAAAGGATGAGTATAAGTTTATGGAAAGAGGGAGAACGGGAGGAGGAGGGGAAGGGGACTGCAGTTGACCTGGGATGATGGCGGCGATGACGCTGATGATGATGATGACGATAACTATGCCAACGACGACGCCGACGACGACCAACTAGATGTTGATAGTGCGGATGATGATGTTGACAAGTACGATGACGATGATGGCGATGGTCATCACGATGCTGACAATATTGGTGACAATGCTGATTGCTGTAATGGTGAAGGTGACCATGACGATGACGATGAAGATGACGGGGATGAGGATGACAATGCGCGCGATGGTTCTAGTAGTAAGGATGGGCAACCTTCCCAAGGGTACCTTGCATCCTTGCCCCTTCGGCCCATCCTTGGCGACCTTTGGCGAACTTCGCTCGAAAAAACGCCAGTTTGGCCCTCCAAGGCCCTTGCATCCTTCCCGCGCATCCTCATGACACGTGCCGACTGGTAGCGGATTCACCGGCACCCCTTTTCGCCCACCCCGACCCGTGCTGGGGCGGGCGGCGCGTGGTATGGCTCGGGCACGTGTGCGCCCTGCGGGTGCGCGGAGACTGGGCTGTGTACGTGTCGGGTGCTGCCAAAGAGCGCCCTGGCCCAAGGTGCCCCCAGGACTTCCTCCTCCTCCTCCTCCTCCTCCTCCTCCTCCTCCTCCTCCTCCTCCTCCTCTCCTCCTCTCCTCGCCTCCTCCTCCTCCTCTCTCCTCCTCATCCTCATCCTCCTCCTCATCCTCCTTCTCCTCCTTCCTCCTCATCCTCCTCCTCCTCCTCCTCCTCCTCCTCCTCCGCCTCCTCCTCCGTCCTCCTCCTCCTCCTCCTCCTCCTCCCCCTCCCTCCTCCTATTCCTCCTCCTATTCCTCCTCCTCCTCCTCCTCCTCCTCCTCCTCCTCCGCCTCCTCGCCTCCTCCTCCTTCCTCCTCCTCCTCCTCCTCCTCCTTTTCCTCCTCCTCCTCCTCCTCCTCCTCCTCCTCCTCCTCCTCCTCCTCCTCCTGCGCGCACTGATGCAATGGAACAGCAGACGCCCTAGGCGCGCTAAACAGCGTCAAAGGAAGAGGAGGCGGGCGGGGGCAGGCCGGCGGGCGCGCCTGGCCAGCCGCCCACAGGCGCCGCAGCGGCGCGTCCATACTCTCTGAGGGGGGAAGCAGCAGCAGGAGGCTCGACCGCAGGGAGGAGGGGAGAGAGGGACGGACAGGATGGCCGTGAGACGAGAACATTTTCGGCGCAGCGACGCCGCCCGCTGGCCCCTGTTACGGGCGGGAGGCTGACCCCAGCTCCAGAGTCATCCGAACCACACTCGCTGCGGACCCCAAACAGGCCGCCGTGCGGCAGGGTGGGAGGAGCGGTGGGCGACGAGGCGGAGACAAGCGGCGCACAAGCGAAGGGCGTGCAAACACTGCTGGGGTGAGGCGAGACCGCCAGACACCCAACGGGCCCGACAGGCCACAGCTCAGGTCCAGGCAGAGCGAAAGCGGCGACAGTCGCAGGGGCACTCAGAGGGCCAAGGTCGGGGTCCACGCGAGAATCAAGAGGGGCCTCAAGCGGAGCGCCTCGCGCTCTATCCACGGCATGAGCCTGAATCCGATGGTAGAGCGTCGGTGAGCACGGAGCGGTCGCCGACGGCATTGACGCTGGGGTCTGGGTGAATGTGGCTGCCATCTGGGATGTCGCCGACCGCATCTGTGATCTCGACGTCGCAATCTGCGGAGTCGTCGACAAGATCCATCCCCGTCTCGAACGCACAGCAACCCTGGACGGCACAGGCTCAGAGACTCTCACCTCGCAATTCATTCGAGCCTGAGGCAATGGGCTCGAGGAGCACCCATGCACCAGACTTTGCGTTCTAACACCTCCGAATCCAGGTCGAACAAGATGTGGAGTACAGAGCGTCAATCGAGACAGACCCTCGCAACGTACTCCAGACGCCTGATCCGACGGGCTCGAGGAGCACCCGCCGTCAGGACTTTGCGTTCTGACATCTCCACGTCTATGCCGAATAGGGTGGGGAGTACATTGCGCCAATCGAGACAGGCCCTCGCAACTTACTCCAGTTGCCTGAACGGACGGGCTCGAGGAGCACCCGCCGTCAGGACTTTGCGCTCTAACACTTGCTGTCATCGGATGAGACCAGTCGCCGTCGTACAGGGCGTGCAGGGGGCCAACGCGCTCGGGGGTCGCCACCGCCGTCGTGGGAGTGCCAGGGGACACCGACGGAGTGCACGGGCATAGGTCGAATGACACCAACTCATCATCGTCAGCTTCAGTATCACATGGTTCAGGGACCAGACGCGGCGTCAGGCCTGGGCTGTCACCCGCATCCATACGAAACTCACGCCCTTCATCGCCAGGACCAGGGTCAACGAGGTCATCATAGCGTTCGCCACTGCTGAACGAGCCCGAGGGCGAGGAAGTCGAGGTCGACGCAGAGGAGGATGAGGAAGACGAACCAGCGCGCCTCCGTCGTGCACGAAAGCGTGTGTGCCACAGCGGCGGCGCATCATCAGCAAGCGCAGTAGTGGCCGCCATCCGCATGCTCCTGATCCCAGCCAGCGCAGCACTAAACGCGTTTTGTTCCGAGATCGGCCAGTCAGGAATCAGGCGGACTGTGTTGTACATGCTCACGGCGGCAGCGAGGAACCCATAGGCCGAAGTCGATGGCGTCGCGAGACCCCACCTGTCCGCAAGCTCCATCGGGAAGCCATGTCCCAGGGCGCGGCGCAGAGCAGCACGCATGCGCACACATCGCGAGTAGTGGATGAGAGAGTCGGCACAGTTGTGGCAGCCAAAAGCGCACCCCCGCTCCCCCGCGGGATGGAGGATGCGCGAAGAGGTCGGCCAGCCATCGCACCACGTCCTCAACGTCGCCCAGGCCCAGGGGCAAGGGCACTGGCTGAGTGTGGCTGAGATCCGAGGCCAATCGAGCTGGTCAAGTAGAGCACCATGTCGTCGGAAGAATAACTTCTGGAGCCGCATGCGCAGAAAATCACGAAGTGGTGCAGCCCGCGCTGCGAGATCACGAAGTGCCCGATGGACGGCCCACTGGGGCCGTGCCCGAGTGCCAGGCGGGACATCCGCTGCGGCAGCAAGGGCGCTGCGGGCGCAGGGCAAAAACTCGGCCCACGGTCCCGCAGGGGCGGGACCACACAGTGCCTGCGCTAGGTTCTCGACAATGGATGGGCTCCTCCAGAAGCCAGGGTAGGGTGCACCAGTGCCGACCATGTCCAGCGTCCTGGAGTCGGCCAGTGCGTCAACGTGTGCTCGCATGCCGTCCAGTAGCTGTCGGTGTTCAGGATAGGTGTGGGCGGCGGAGCGCATCAAGGTGGCAAGGTTGAGGTGGGCCCAGCGCTGCACCCGAGGTCCTTGCCATAGGTCAAGCTGCACCCATGCATTCAGCGGGAAGGTGCCCAGGGCCACACGATAGATTTGTGCCAGCACACCCAGCTCACAGGCTAGCACTGCTCTCGGCATCCAAAAGAACTGACTGACATACGAGAGTGTGGTGATAATACGTGCATTATAGATAATACGTGGTGAATCCTCCTCCTCCTCCTCCTCCTCCTCCTCGTCCTCCTGCTCCTCCTCCCTCCTCCTCCTCCTCCTCCTCCTCGTCCTCCTCCTCCTCCTCCTCCTCCTCCTCCTCCTCCTCTTCCCCCCCTCCTCCATGGAGGCCCCCACGGCCTCCAGAGCACCCCATCACGAGGCCCCAGGGGGCCCTGGACGCTCCAAAGTGGGGCGAGCAGCTGGGGGCACCTCGGGACAGGGGCACCTCCAGCAATCCCCGAACGTGGGGCCTCACTGGTACTGCACCGTGGTCCTGCTCGGCGTCGTCCTGGCCGCGGGGCTCTGCTTCTCCTTCGGGGTCGCGCCTCGGGCGCACTGGCTGCACGTGGTGGGCGGGCTTATCTCGGAAGAGGGCTGGTTGAGAGAACGGCCGCTCTCCCGCCCAGCCCACACCCGCTCCAAGACGCGTCCCGGGGCCCATCCCGCCCCAGTCTCCGAAGGGGGGGCAGGGAAGGGGAGGGAGCAGAAGACAGGGTAAGGAGGAGGAGAAGGAGGAAGAGGAGGAGGAGGAGGAGGAGGAGGAAGAGGAGGAGGAGGAGGCGAACAAGGAGGAGGAAGAGAACAAAGAGGAGGAGGAGGACGAGACGGAAGAGGAGGAGGAGGAGGAGGAGGAGGAAGAGGAGGAGGAGGAGGAGAAGGAGGAGGAGGAGAAGAAGATACGACTACGACTACGACTACGACTACGACTACTGCTACTACTACTACTACTACTACTACTACTACTACTACTACTACTACTACTACTACTACTACTACTACTACTACTACGACTACGACTACTCTACTACTACTACTACTACTACTATACTACTACTACTACTACTACTACTACTACTACTACTACTACTACTACTACTACTACTAACTACTACAACTACTACTACTACTACTACTACTACTACTACTACTACTACTACTACTACTACTACTACTACTACTACTACTACTACTACTACTACTACTACTACTACTACTACTAACTACTACTACTACTACTACTACTACTACTACTACTACTACTACTGACTGCTACTGCTCTACTGACTACTACTACTTACTACTACTACTACTACTATCTACTTTTTACTACTACTACTACTATACTACTACTACTTGACTCTACTGCACTACTACTACTACTACTACTACATACTGCTACTACTACTACTACCACCACGGCTGCTACTACTACTACTGCTACTGCTACTGCTACTGCTATGCTACTACTGCTACTACTACTAACTACTACTACTATTACTACTTACACTCCACTACTACTACTACTGTACTACTACTACTGTCACTACTACTACTTACTACTACTACTACTACTATACTACTACTACTACTACTACTACTACTACTACTCCTGCTACTACTACTACTACTACTACTACTACTACTACGACTTCGACTACGACTACGACTACTACGACTACTACTACTACTACTACTACTACTACTAATAATAATAATATTAATAATAATGCCAGTATGAACAATAGTGCCATCACGAATAGTGCTAATACTAAGAATAAGAACAATATTAATAATACTCATAATAATAATATTAATAATAATAACAACAATAATGATAATGATAATAATAGTATTAATAATGACAACAACAATAATAATAGCAACAAAAACAATAATACTATTAGTATTATTAATATTAACTGCAATTAAGAGAAGAAGAATAGTAATACGAAGCATGGGAATAACAAACAGAAGACGAATACGAGGACGACACATAGTAATATTAATACGAATACTAATACGACTAATAATAATAATATGAAGACGAAACATACGAAATAAGAGTAATACGAATATGAAAAAAGAAACATATAATGAAAAAAGAAGGAAGAGTGACGAGAAGCCTTCGCGAGGACCCCCCGAAAGACGAACAAAGCGGCATGGAGGGCCGCCGTGGTCTCGACGGGCCCACCCTCCGATCGTCGCGACCGCGTGCACGTCGGAGGCCCTGCTGCGCTGCGCGCTCGCAGACCCGGGGATCCTGCATGATGGGCCTGTTTTCCACCACCACCACCACCACCACAACACAAGTTGGAGGGGAAGGGGGTCCTCCTCCCCCTCCTCTTCCTCCTCCGCCTCCTCCGCCGCCTCCTCCTCCTCCTCCACCGCCTTCTCCTCCTCCTCCTCCTCCTAATCCTCCTCCTCCTCCTCATCATCATCATAATCATCATCATCATCACCTTCATCATCATCATCAGCATCATCATCATCATCATCATCATCATCATCAGCAACATCCTACTATTTGTCCTCCTCTTCGTCCTCCTCATCCTCCTCCTCCTCCTAATCCTCCTCCTCCTCCTTTTTTATATTTTTGCCGTTGCCATTTTTGGCTCAAGATGCACAGTCCCCCAGAGGAACAAGTGGATACCGCTAGTCCGCGGCTGACAAGACCCTTTGTGGTCTGGCAGAAATTCTTCTTCGCACCGACGCTTGCGCCCACGGGTAAACGGAGGCCTTTCCCGTTCTTGTGCGTGCGAACGTCTCAGTCGACCCCATGGGGCCTGCTGCCTGCGATCGCCCTCATCCTCCTGTTCATCGCATGGACTCCGCGGCAGAAGCAGACACAGATGTTGCATCGATCGGTGGAGGCAGCTCCTCTGACGAACAGCGTCGCTCAGCGTCACGCAGCGGTGGCAGCCGCGGTGCTCGTCGTGCTGCTCGCGCCCGCCACTCTGCCAATGGCTCCACTGGTGCTGATCTCCCTCGCCGCCCTCGACGCGCTGGCCGCCATCGGGGCGCAGGAGGAGACGCTCCACCTCCTTCAGGTGCCGCTGCCTCGCATCGTGACCATGACCCTGCCGCCCTTGGCCCCACTACGGGTGTGGCACAGCGCAGTACCGACCACGATGGACCACCTCACCATTTGGATCCTGAGCAGTGTGTTCGCTTGGCGGCGGAGCTCGAGATGGCCCCCACGTTCCCCTCGCAAGAGGTGCCCCCCACGCCCCCTGCCGCCACCCGCAGTGCCCCACACACGCCCTTCGACCCGTGGGCCGCTGCTGTGGCGGTGGGGGGGGCACCTCGTCGCAGCGCTGCTGCTGATGGTGCTGCTGCTTGGGCGGAGGAGGAGGGACAAGCCGCATTCACTCGTGCCTTCTATCACGCAGACATTGCTGCCCGTTTCACACAACTACGAAGTGAATATGGTAACGTCGTCCCCACGGCCATCACGAGTTCTGTGCAGCAATCGAATGCTCCGATCCTGGCTGCCCTCAATACTCTCCAGCGACAGCTCTCGACGCAGCACACGGACATTGACCAGCATGTCATGGTCTCTGTCCGCCCGCAGTTCGACGTCTCCAGCACCAGTTCCAGGAGCAGCAGGGTGCCCTCAGCCGCCGTGTCGACCACACCGAGCGTGACATCGAGTCACATGCCGCGAAGCTGGATGACCTCCAACAGCAGATCCAGGCGCTTCGCCAGCAGACTGGGATCGACAAGCAGCTGCCGTCTCGCCCTCCTGCACCACCTGGCTTCGATAGGGAGATCGACCCCACACAGGTCATTGTCGTCGCAAACAAGCTCGTGGGCATCGCTGGGGTTCGAGACGTTGTCAATAACTTCATGGGTGAGCTCAACTTCTCCGAGGGCGACACATATTCGATCAAAGCGCTCACCCCTTTGCCGTCTAAAAAGTTCGCGATCTCCTTCTCAGGACCGATCGGCCTCGCCTCTTGCCGCGTTCAGAAAGCATTGGGCAACCTCAAAGTGGATGGGTCCTGGCGTGAATTTCATTGCCCTGTCCAGGGTGCGGAGGCTGCGCGGATGCACTTTGGTCCAGACAAATCCCCGAAGCAAGTTCGTGGTGAGATGCAGCTCAGGAAGGTCCGCTCCTCGCTCTTGGAGGCAGACCCACAGAGGCGGTGGTTTGTCGACCGCGAGCGGGGGGTCCTCAAGTCTGACTACACGGACGTCCTCCGCCTCATCCCGCGCCCTGGTGATGAGCCACCAGAGATCTCGTGGAGCGACGTGGGTATTCGTGCTCTCGGGCTGGACAAGCGCGAGCTCCAAAGTGTCATCCGCTGTGTCACTTCTGCCCCAACAGCTACGCAGCGGTGTCTATAGCAAAATTACGGAGATGATTGTGCTCCCAGTGGGGCAGGTCGGCGGAGAGGTCACAGCCAGCCTCCAATTCTTGACATGGAATGCACGCGCCCTCCTTCGAGCTGGCGGTGCGAAGGCCCCGTCTAAATTGAAGTACTTGCAGCGTCTGCAACCTGGACGTGCTATCATTGCTCTCCAGGAAGTACATGCTGATCGTATCGAGCTGAATGACTTTATCGCCAGGGTCTCCGCCACCGCCGTCGCCCATAGCAGTTTCTGCGAAGATGATGATGGTGATCTGGTCCGTGGCGCTGGAGGGGTTGCTGTCATTCTACCACCTCTCTCTTCTTCGTCTGTCAGTAGTTGTGCGATGCCTCTCATCAAAGGCAGGGTGCCCCGCGTGGACGCGGTGCTCGGGGCGACACAACTGGTGATATGCATGTAATGTGCACAACCACGGCTTGACCAAGGGTGATGTACAACTCGTCTGTGAGCAGATCCTTTGTGCGCTGCGTCTTGCCGCTGGTAATCCCGTGTCGTACTTTGTGGTCGTGTTGGGTGACCTCAATTACAGCTACGACTCTTCTCTCATCTTTCACCGTCCGAGTGGCGCGCAGCCGCGGCATTGTCACGATCACAAGGTACACGCACCACTTTGGGCCGCTGCCTTGGGTAGGATGATGGAAGTGAGCTCCGAAGCTGCGACGCACTTCTGAAAGTTTACCAACTCCGTCAACATCATCGACCGCTTCTTCTGCTCGGCCACAGGTTGGATGATGTGCCAACTTATGACTGACGTCACCACGGTCGACAGTCCCGAGCTCCTCAGCTCCAAGGGCGTCTCCGACCATGCTGCTCTTTCCGTTCGTCTTCGGCTTCGCGGTGCCGGGCCGGCCGCTGATAGACCGATCCCGAAGCACATATTCACCTCCCTGCCGTTCCAGCGTCGGCCCCAGGGCGCGCTTGCTGACGGGGAGGACGACTTGCTGCAGTGGGGCCCACATATCGCCACTGAGCATTACAAATACATGATGAAAGAGGCCGCACGAGAGGCTCGCAACATCCTCTTCCTCACCGCCCCCGATCTTCCTGGTACGTTACAGCTGGCGACGCGTGGGATTGCCCGAGCAGTGCGGCGGCAGGGCGCAGGTCTCGCCTCCAAGCTCATCGAGACCTCCCAGTACGCCGCCGACGCGCTGGTCATCGAGGGCGCCGAGGTCTCGCTGCGCCACGCCCCGACCTTCGAACAGTGGGCCGATGGGGTTCATCGGCTAGTCTGTGAAAAAAGAGATTGCTGCAGCTGCCTCTGCTCGGGCCCCCGAAGGGTCATCGTCGGCATGGAAGCCTAGTTCGGCCACGCTTCTGAGAGCTCTCGAGAGGAAAGCCTCCATTTGGGCCCCCTTCTCTACGCGGCTTGTCCTGTCGGCGATCATCGCACCTGAGGGCCCCGTTACGGGCGCCCACGAGCGCACCGCGGCCCTCGAGGCCTACTGGAAACCTGTCTTCTCCAGGAAAGTGCCCCAGCCTGACCTGACCCAGAAGTGCCTCGATAGGTCCCTCACCTAGGCCTCCGACATCGCGATTCAGAGTCCGATGACCCATATGTTCAGGAAGGTCCCTCAGCGAGCGCGACATTCTGCCCCTGGAGTGGATGGCCTACCATATGCGGCCTGGCTCGCGTGCGACTTCGGGGATTCGGGGCCCAGCACCTAGCCAGGATGTTCGGCTGGCTCTGCCAGGGCCAATCTCTGTTCGCCTCCGCCAGCGTCACCCTCCAGGCCTTCGTCCCGAAAGGCTCCGATGCAGGTGATCAGCCATCGGGGACTTGCTCTCGCGCTCCCGACAAAATCCGCGTCTTGGGGTTGAGGAATACGGACGTCAAAATCCTGAGCTCGGTCATGCATCGGATCTTGGAGCCTGTGGTGCAGGCGGTGGCCCCCGCTTCCCAACGCGGCTTTATTCGTGGGCGTAACTTTTGTCACAACGTTTTAGAGCTGGACGTACATGCCCGCCTCGCCTCCCTGCATCCCCTCGCCGAACGTCGATCACCCATCCTCGTCGGCTTCGATTGCGGGCAAGCCTTCCCGAGCCTGTCCCAGTTCTTCCTGCTCCAGCTCTTTGGGTCCTTGGGCCTCCCTGTGGAGGTCTTAGCATTTGTTACGTGGATGCATGCGGTTGTTGAAGGGGTGGTTAATGATGGGCGGCAATACGCGACTATCTTCTGGATCCGTTCGGGCATCATCCAAGGGTGTGGGCTCTCGGGATCTCTGTGCGCCTTCGCCGCCTCCCCGATGCTTGCCGATTTAGAACGCAACGTGGAAAGCCGTTCCCTGGGGATATGTCGTGCGTGTGCGGATGACCTTGGCGCTGTCCTCTATGAGATGGCCTCATTACGGATTATGGTTCGGGTCCTTGGGGTCATGGAGAAGCTGGCGGGCCTCAAGATTAAGATCAGCAGGTGCACCCTGGTCCCCCTCGTTGCCAACATGACTGACACCCTGAGGACCATGACTAAGACGCAGCTCGCCTCGATCGCTGGGGCTTGGGCTGACTTTACCATCGAGGGTTGGCTCCTTTATCTTGGGATGATCTTGGGTCCTGATGCCACGGTGGAGCTTAACTGGGACGGCCCCCTCCAGAAAGCCCGATCTCGGGCTCGGATGTTGGGCCGTGGGGTTGCGTCGGTCAGCGCCAACTGCATCCTTTATCGCACTCGGGTCTACCCTTGCCTCGCTTATGTTGCCCAGTTCCTCCCCATGCCTGGCTGGTTCTTGCCCATCGAGCGTGGTGCGCTTTCGTGCTCCCCTGGGTATATTCTCTAACGGGGCGATCCTGGAACTACCGGCCTGGGGAGGGCCCCTGATCCCATCCTGGTCTGCTCAAGCAACAGCTGCTCACCTCCGTGCTGCCATTCACACATTCCAGGGCTATGAAGCGCACTTGTGCGCTCTCCGACAGACAGCGGCGACATGGCACCAGGAGGTTCTGGATGGGAAATTTGACGAGGTTGCTCTCGGCTCCCTGGATCGCTCGCGCGTGTGCCCCGCTTTCTGGCGCTCTCCTGCGTTTCCTGAGCATCTCGGACATATCCAGATGTACTCTCAGGAGCCCCTTCGGGTGGATGCCCGCTCAGCTATCCAGGAGGAGAGCATGGTCTCCTCGCGTCGTCCGCGGCTTCAGCGGGCTGCGGCTCGCTCTCTCGGGCGAGCGATGTGTGCACACAGACCGCTTCAAGCTATGCTTATCCGCAACCTCACCCCGCTCTTTGTTGGCTACCGTCCCTTTCTGGATCAGATTCATTGGTCGGCTATCCAAGAACTCCTTCGGATGGCCCCTCAGAGTTGGGCCATGTCTGCGTTGCGCACCTGGGGAAATGGGCGGTTGACCTCATATCGTATTATTCACCCCCTTGGGAAGCTCAAGTGCAGATTCGGGTGTCAAAGGCCTGACAGACTACAACATTATGCACGGCGCCCGATCCTATATAATGCGATTTGCCGTGGTATGCAGCGTCCGATGCCTAGACCTCTCGCTAAGCGTTGGTGTCTCACTCTCCCGCACCCTGATCATCTTGAGAACATGTATGCCATGTACCAGACGCACAATCTTGCGCGCCAGGGCACACTTGTCTCTACGCCAGTGCAGCTGCGTGGATATGTGAATGCTGCGATCCGAGACTCGCTCGACCCTCCGACCGTTTGCGACGATGGGAGCCCCCGCCCGCGGTCCAGGCCTTGCGGCACCTGCAACCTCAGGCTGAGGTGCGACCCTCCTCGCCGTCCTCGTCGTCAGATGCCAGCATGACCTCTGACTCCTCTGATCCCCCGTCTGATGGCCCCCATCCTGCTCCCTGGCCGCTGACGCCCCGTCGCTCCCCGACAGCAGTATCTGGCAGCATTTTGGCTCTTGCCCAGGGTGTGCGTTCAGGTGAAGCTGCCCTCCCACACGCTTACGTTCGGCCGTCAGCATGTGGCAGCCCGATTGGGCCCTCGGCATCGACCGTGTCAACGTCGCAGCCTTCTCCAACGCCCACGTGCACACCACAGAGGGCGACTCCTGGATCCTCGATTGCGTGCCCGTCGTCGATTCCGTGCGAAGTTTCGGTGACGCCGCCCTCGCCAATTTCATCGTCGCCTCCAATTTCGCGCAGGGCTTCGGCGACGCCGACTCCACCAGTGGCGTGGACGACGGGTTGTTCAGCGCCCTCGTCGCCTCCTCTCGGCGTTAGATCGCAAGTCCCGATGTCGCGTTCGGTCTCACCGTCGCCTGTTGTCGGATGCTTCGACTCCCCCCTGTGGGGCATGGCGTTAGAGCGCAAGTCCCGTTGTCGTATTCGGGCAGCACGTCGCCACGTCTCGGATTTGTCGGAAGTGATCTCCACGCTGTTGGCGTTAGAACGCAAGTCCCGATGTCGTGTTCGGGCTCGCCGTCGCCACCTGCGCTTTGCCGAGGCTCTGGACTGGTGTCCGACGGCGTTAGATCGCACGTCCCGTAGCCGTGTTCGGGCTCGCCGTCGCCACCTGCCGGTCGGAATCTTGCGACGGCCGCGCCCCCCCACGGGTGGACTTCGATTTCGCTGGCTACTCCGACAGCGCTCTCAGCGACGATTGCCCCGCCGACCTCGGTTGAACGAACTGATGCCCTCCTGTGGTGTCCTGCTTTCTCGCCCCCGCCCTCCGATCCGTGGGCCCTGCCGTCGCCTCCTCCTCTGCGCCCGTCACTTCGCCCCCCCCCGCTCCGCCCACGTACATGGCGTCATCGATTGCCACGCCAGTGATTTCTCCTGCTGCCGATCGCCTCCCCAGCACTGTATCCGTCAATGTGCGTCGCAACTCCAGCTTGCAGATTTTGTCGACTGTGCCGCGGGGCCTGCTTCCTGCACCCCGCGCGGCGCCCTGGTCGCCCGCCAGTCATCAGCATCGGCTTTTCTCTACCTGTCCGTCTCTCTTGAGCGCTGCTCCTGCCTTCGCCTCTGCTGCTTCCCCCTCGCTCCCCCCCCTCCCTGCTCGGATTGAAATAGCGGCCCCTGTCATCGGCGCCGCCGAGCACGAGCTGCATGTCTTCGAGGCACCGCCGCCTGCGGCGCCAGGTCGGGCCAGAGGGTAGGCCAGACTGGGACCCTCCTTCTACGCTCGTCTCATTTTTTCTTTTTTCTCCTTTTACTCCTCCTCCTCCTCCTCCTCCTCCTCCTCCTCCTCCTCCTCCTCCTCTTCCTCTTCCTCTTCCTCCTCCTCCTCTTCCTCCTCCTCCTCCTCCTCCTCCTCCTCCTCCTCCTCCTCCTCCTCCTTCCCCCCTCCAACGCACGGTGGTGGTGGTGGTGGAAAACAGGCCCATCACTGCAGGCGAGCCCCGACGGCCCCGGAGGGGCGCAGGAGGCGGTGCAGTTGCTGCCCGCTCCCGCTCCGGGCGAGCGGTGGTGCGCCGCGTGTCGCCTCACGCGGCCTCGGGGCGCCGCCCACTGCGAGTTCTGCCGCGTCTGCGTGGCAGGGTTCGACCACCACTG